CAAGTTTGAAATAGTCCCTTCCAGCTCTTGCTGTGAAGAAATGAAATCGTAGGTTGTGCAATAACCTTTCTTATCGTGAACGGTGCCTTTGAGCTAGCAGACAGTCAGTCTCACGGATGTGAGTCGGTCAGATGCACTGGAAATTGTTCTCGACCTAGAGCTATGTTGCAAACATTGGCGTCATTTGGTGCTCTATCCTCCTCGTTGTAGAGTTCAAAGTTACTCACATGCTTCTGCTACCATTTTCAAGCTTTCATATATACAACCTTTTTCTTAGCAGGCTTCTTCGATTTCATCTCAAACTGCATTCCATTGATCATGTTCATTTGATCTTCCATTGTGCTTGTCTAATGAACAAGATTTATGAAATTACTTTAGGTAACCGGATCATGCTTAAGGCTTGTACTGCAACGCTGTCGGAAACTGAAATCGCTTTTCCTTGCCCACACCAGTAAGTTTTGAGCTTCCAGAAGTCCGCGGGGTGTGCTCAGAGCATAGGGAGTTTTGCCCACAACATTGTACTGCGGTGAAATAGCAGCAGTTAAGAAGAACATCAAATCACCACTATTATTGAGTTATTTGCTGCTTATTTTTTTATATTACCACTATATTTATTATTATTCATATGATTTTCTATTTCTTCAAATTCATCGGTTTACTCACCCACCTCTCTATCTATTTATGCATTGCCATATTTTAGGAATACCTTCAACTAAATCCGCTTGTTTATAGGTCTTGACAATGCCACGATAAAAGCGATCGAATGGGAAAAGACAAGGATCGAAGAATTGGATGTGAAAGGTACCGAGCTGTCATCGGATACCCTGATATCACTCCTTACTCGTCTTCCTCATCTTCGATGGTTAGATGCAAGCTGGCTGGAGAATATGACTGATCAGGTAATTGCGATTGAGACATATTGGGAGGATTAGAGGATTCTTCACTTGATTATTTAGTAGGAGGGCCATCCTTCACAGGGACTTATTTGTGATAAAAAACATAACTGATACGAAATAGCAACTGATTCCGTCTTCTTGTCAGGTATTGGAGGCATGGTTACAATCAGGCGCGTTGGCGAATCTTCAATTTATCAATTTGGACACTTGTGATTCACTGAACGAACAAGCACTGACCGATATGATCGTTCGACATGGGCCACAATTACAAGGACTTTGTCTAGGTGGCCAGCATAAACTTCTGGAGTACTTTTGGATGAATATGATTCCACAACTGAAAAATATAAGGTAAACTATTTCTCATTTCATCTTTTTTACATATGAATTTCCCTTCTACACTGTCTTCTTTCTTTGAAAGTCGTACCGGATGCTAGCCAGCTCATTCCCGTTTTGGTGGCTTTACGGTCAATTTCATCTTTTTCTCTTTTCTTTGGAAAGGAGACGGTGCCTGTCGCAAGTTGCGCCGTGACCTGTTTTTTTAGTCCTAGGATCACGTCATTCACCGTTACCAAATCTATCTAACCATGCTTGTCATTCCTTTTCTCGCTTCTTTTCTCACTCCGCCCTCACCAAACTTTCCGTTGTTTAGTAGAATCATTCTATTTCTTCCCTTCACTACTACATCCAATTCTTTACAATTATTTTTGCTACTACACCCATTTCGTCTCATCTATCTTTATCGGGATCCCTGGCTCTGCCCACTTCGTGCTTGCACTTTATTGCAAAGATTTCGAATTTCCTATCTTTCTGTGTTTAGTCTACCACAAGTTCTTTGAACGATGGTAAATAAATAGCATTTCCAGAGTTATCGTCATGGGGATTGCCGAAGACTGTTGTCCCAAAGTTGCTGCCAAAATCCATGTCGATCAATTTATCGATTGTATCGCTCAGAATTGTCCTCGATTAACACGATTAGAAATTCGATGGGATGACGATACCCTGAGGTTTTCAGATAAATCGAGGTAAGTTCATGGTTCTATCTTTCTACAGGGAGGGCATAGATGGAGATACCTGACGTATAAGTCGACTACTCACTCGAAGGTCAGCTCCGTTCGTGCCAAAAGCCAGTTAGAAAGTAGTGGTACGCCTACGGGGAAAGATACTGGAGGATTTAATTTTTTTTTCCTGGAAAATAGGGTTTCCACCTTCATCTAACTAGTCCTATTTTGAAAAGAATGGCGAAGTACTCGGTCCAAAAGAAATAATAGAATAGCCTTAGTTCCATTTATTTCATTCGAATTAGTTTATTGATCATTGGTGTTTTACAGTAAATTTATTGACGTCTTGCGAATGAAATGTCTCAAACTGCATTCGATTGTGCTCAGCGATGGACAGTACTACGAATTGGTACGGTCGAATTTTGAAAGGGCGGACCGAATGAGCGTTGTAAGGTTAGCTATAACTGCTCCATACGTATGTATCATATCAGAAGTACTTCACTGGTATCGATTAGATATTGTCATTAATTATGAATGTTATTATAATAATTGATTATGACTAGAAGTTATCTTAATTTTATGAGATAGGCCAGAATCGTCTGGGAGGATTAAAGCACTGATTTATACATTAGCTGGCTATGTAGTTCCGGGATAGCGATCTCATATGGGATATTCCTGCTAAAATTTGTGGCTTAATCAAGTTCCAGGCAGTTTCTTGTCAAACTCTAATTACCTATTGTCAATGGATAAGAGTTTAGGGGAAGGGGTGGTTCTTTTCATGAAATTCGTCAGCTGCGACCATTTCCCCTTTCCTGCCCGGAGTTCTGTAACTCCCCGTCACTTACATTTGTGAACGTTCAATTTCTTAATAGCTAGTTTTGATTGATGTTATTAATCGCTTATTTTTCTGTCATTCATTACATTTGAAGCAACTGAAAGTTCCTAACATTTTCAAAGGATCAATGTGTGTAATCGTTTTTTCTCATTTCAGGACAACCGAGATGTGCCGCACCGGTCTTTTGCATTGCTCTCGGTTCTACAATCAACTACTTTTCAACTAGATCGTAGATTAGTAATTTACTGTAATTTTTTAGTCTTAACGTTTGTATCTCTAGGTGGTCTATAGGCTGTGTAAATTGTATTTTCCCACCCCGGTTCCTTGATTGCTCCGAATCTCTATTACCAGTGTATTTCTTCATCATCGGGTCGTCTACTAGCTTTTTCATATACTTTCTACTTACTTTCCATAGTATTTGTGAGTACTGAAACAACAGAATGAACTCCCACATGTCAGAAGGTGTGCTTTCGATAGAATCGGGGTATCCTCAACCCCTGCAGTCCATTGAAATACCTTTAAGAGCTGACCAGTTTAGGAATGAGGAATATTGGAAAGTTTCCCGTTATGGGTTGCCCACCGGTATCCCGTCAACGAATTGCTAGAGTTCCCCATCACCCTGCCGAAGTGTGGAAGCTCATTCTGGTGCACTAGTCTGGGTGCAAATGATAAATGAAAACTTCTCCAAGTGTTCTGTAAAACAGACTTAGTGATGAAAATGGTTTGTCGTTTTTCCTAATAAAAATTCAAAAAAAATCGAAGACTTTGATCATGCACACATACGGGAGTACGTAACAATCTAGAGTGCTTGTATTCATTATGATCGGGTAGAACTTGAATGGAAACTTCTAAAAAATTGGGCCACCCAATATCAAAAGCTGGTCCGATACAAGTCAGTTTGCAAGGCCGGTTTATGGAGGAACCCGTGACATCAAATATGGTTGAGTTCGCCAAAGTGAGCAGACCTTGCGACTGCTTAGGATCAAATTCAAGGAAAAGAAGGAACTGTCTAGCCTTCAACTCACCATTCTTGAGGCCTATACCGGATTAAAGTTGACAAGATGGTTTCGAATGGTTTTTTTTCCGAGCGGAATTTTTGCTCCCCTTCCAACAGGAAAGCAAAGATCAGGCATGATTTATGATAAGGCTTAGCATGGTGTGTATGATAAGCAATCAGTGACGAGGTAGGCGAGTTCCGTAAGATTGTAAAAGCCTCCGAAATTCCTTACAGCCAGTTTTTATCGTTTTTTGAGCGTTTCTCCTTGTCTTAGTCCTCTCTTCACTTGAATAAACTCGATCAAATAGAGTATGTTCTGGAACTGTTTAGCAAGCTACTTATGAAAAGAAGACAGAAGAAGTGAACGAAAGACATCATTTCGTGAAGTCTTCATCTTTGTGTACTCTTTCCCCTTACTGTTAGTTCAAGCAGTGCCGATCCCTTCAGAGAATTTCAAAGTTAACAAAGAAAGCGATTATAATTTGTTGAAATCATTTTGCTCCCTCCATTTGCTAAGGATCACTCGAGAATCCATTCAAAGGGTAGCCATCCAGAGTCATACGCAGGAGGAGGAACCGGTCAAGAGCTGTAGATAGGCTTAGAGCAGTTGTTTAGACTCTTCCATTGTAAACTCACTTGATTACTTGTCAAGACGTCCCATTCTCCCTTCCAAGATGGTAGGTCATGAAAAGTTTCTCATCCAGCTCTCTTTAGAGCTTTGAGCTGGGTTTAAGACAGCGATTCTGCGATAGAAGAGGCTTCCTTCAAACTCGGTCTATTTACTAGCCTCCTTAATCTCTCCTTGATCTAAAGTTGCAAAGTTCAGCACTTAGTAATTCCACTGAGAGTTCCCACTTTTGTACTTTTTTTTTGAAATCCTTTCCGAAATTCTTGGTGGTTCTCGAATGCGTGGGGGGAATATGAAAACGCGAGGGGGATTGATCATGATCGAAACCTCACCGCTTCCCTTCTGAGAAACCCAACGAAACTCTCAGATACATCCACCATCTGCCCATCTAAACCCCAATTCAGTTTCTCTGTTACTTGAAAGTTTTTCAGAAGCGCTGATGCACATAGCGCAATTGCTTAGTTACAGAACCTCTTATATAGCGTTTGTGGTTCTTTTGGGATCTTGTGTAGGTCGTAGAGGTTTTTCAGAATGCGCAGCTTGCTCGTCTTAGCCGTTGTTGTAGCCTCTTGCCTGGCNGAAAGTTTTTCAGAAGCGCTGATGCACATAGCGCAATTGCTTAATTACAGAACCTCTTATATAGCGTTTGTGGCTCTTTTGGGATCTTATGTAGGTCGTAGAGGTTTTTCAGAATGCGCAGCTTGCTCGTCTTAGCCGTTGTTGTAGCCTCTTGCCTGGCTGTGGTGATTCCACGATCACAAGGAAATGTCATCGAATGCGTTATGTGCAAAATAGCCGTACGTGTCGCTGCTCCGATGATCGGAAAGGATACGGTGGAAATCGAGCAGGTCAGTTACGGTTGAGCCCTACTCCCCATTATGCTCATAATTTACTCGCATTTTGTAAAATGCGCTGCAATCTATAGCAAACCCAAACGTGGCGTAGTAGAGTTCCCGCAGTTGAGGAACCTACTCTCTAAGAGTGAGATCGAGGACGGGGCTGTTTTGCAGTGAATGAGCAGGTTTCAGCTCCCTGATTGGGGAGAATCGTATGTACCTCTGCTAACCCCCTTGAGCGCCTTTTCGTCTTTCTCATAAGTGAAAATTCCCATAACGATGGGATGAAAAAAGAGAATTTTTAGTTTGTGACAAAAACTGGATTGTCACTGGGTGCTGAAGGGTGAAATCGCACCTGCGCTTACTTATCTCAAAGTAGACGGTTCCTATATGTACAAGATCTTCTAAAATTTTACAAAAAGCACTGTACAAACGGTTCATTTACAGAAATTCGACAAGGAGTGTAAGAAAGAACTCAAGGATATTCCTGAAGGACCCAGAGAATGTGAAAAATATGTCAACGAACATCTCGATCCTATTATTCATGAGCTCGAATCTGGAACAGCTCCAAAAGACGTCTGCACAAAGCTTCATGGATGTTAATGAGAATAAATGTTGTCTTACGCTCACTGTTATTTCCCTTTCATCGTAACTGTACCTACCGTATACAGTTTGTCTGGGCGACATTATAAAGCTGGTATCGTTGCAGCCAGTTCATACTGTTTTTGAGAGAACAAAGGGTCAAAGGGAAGGAAGGAATATCAGAAACCCCATGAATTATATGAGTACCCTAAAATTCCATAGATAAGAGCGGTAGACAATACCGGTGAAAAATGAATTGGAATGAAATTGAAATTGAATGCAGTC